GAATCATGCACCACGGCCAATTGGGATTTATCTTAGGTATGCAAAGCTTGTTTAACATTCATAAAATCAATTAATGTAATCTATTTAGCATGAAACTAAAGAAGAAAAATCACATGATCATATCAATAGATGTAGAAAGAGCATTTGACAAAATTTAATACCCATGCAAGATATAAACTCTTAGCAAATTAGGAATAGAAGGTAACTTCCTCAACTTGATAAAGAGCATCAACCCAAATCCTACAGCTACTATCATACTTAATGGTAAGGAACCCAAAGTTTTCCACTAAGTTCAGGAGCAAAGCAAAGACGTTCCCTCTAACCACCACTTTTCAACATCATACTGGAAGTCCTAGATAATGCGATAAGACAAGAAAAGGAAATAAAAGTTACACAGATTGGGAAGGAAGAGATAAATACTCTTTGTTCACAGATTGCATAATTGTCTGTGTGGAATATCTGAAACTGGCACACATACACAAAAAAGAAAACTTGTTATAATCCTGTATAATAAAGAGGTAATATGCAAATTAATCCTCATGCCCTCACAAGATGGCTGCCTATGACCAGGACTGCAGGGGGGTTAGTGAGGGATGACCAAACGACTGAACAAGCAGGCTGCATGGGGCGGCCAGGCCGGCGGGGGGTTAGTGAGGAACGACCAAATGACTGAACAAGCAGGCTGCGTGGGGCGACCAGGCCAGCAGGGGGTGGTGGTGAGGGACGACCAAACGCCTGAACAGCAGGCTGAGTGGGGTGACCAGGCCAGCAGGGGGGGCAGTTACAGGTGACCAGGCTGGCAGAGGGGGGCAGTTGGGGGCGACGAGGCCAGCAGAGGGTGTGCAATTGGAGGCGACCAGGCCGGTGGGGGTGGGCAGTTAGGGGCAACCAGGCTGGCGGAGGGGGTGCAGTTGGGGGTGACCAGGCCAGCAGGGCAGGGCAGTTGGGGGCTGTTAGGTTGGCAGGGCAGCAGTTAGGGGCAACCAGGCCGGCGGGGTGGGGGGGCAGTTAGGAGTGACCAGGCCAACAGGGAGGGTGTGGTTGGGGGTGACCTGGCCAGCAGCGGGGGGCAGTTAGGGGCAATGAGGCCGGCAGTGGGTGCAGTTAAGGATGATCAGGCCAGCACACAGGCAGTGAGAGGCTATCAGGCCAGCGGGGGGCGGGGGGCAGTTAGGGGTGACCAGGCAGACAGGCAGGTGAGCAATTAGGAGCCAGCGGTCCAGGATTGTGAGAGGGATGTCCGACTGCCAGTTTAGGCCTAAACTGGCAGTTGGACATCCCCCCCCAAGGGGTCCCGGATTGGAGAGGGTACAGACTGGGCTGAGGGGACTCCACCGCCCCCGTGCATGAATTTCGTGCACCAGGCCTCTAGTAAGCAGTATAACAAGATTGCAGGGTACAAAGTTAATGCACAAAAGTAAATTGCTTTCCTGTATACCAACAATGATCAAGTGGAATTTGAAATTAAAAAACACATTACCATTTACATTAGCACTCCCAAAATGAAGTATTTAAGTATAAATCTAACAAAATATGTACAAGATCTATGTGATAAAAACTATAAAATTCTGATGAAAGCAAAGAAGGACTATATATATGGAGAGAGATTCTATGTCTATGAATAGGGAGATTCAATATTATCAAAATGTCAGTTTTTCCCAACTTGATCTAGAGATTCAACACAATCCCAATCAAAATTGCAGAAAATATTATTTTGTGGATATTGACAAACTGATTCTATTGTTTATGTGGAGAAGCAGAAGGCCCAGAATATCAACTCAGTGTTGAAGGGGAACAAAGTTGGAGGGCTGACACTATGTTGCTTCAAGACTTAATATAAAGCTACTGTAATCAAGACAGCCTGGTATTAGCAAACAGATCAATGGAACAAAATAGAGAGCCCCAAAATAGACCCACATAAATATAGTAAACAGATCTTTAAGGAAAAGGGCAATACAATGGAGCAAAGATACTCTTTTTAACAAAGAGTCTGGAATGACTGGACATCCACATGTAAAAAAAATGAACCTAAATACAGGTCTTACATCCTTCACAAAAAATTAACTCAAAATGGATTATAGGCCTAAATATAAAATGTAAAACTATAAAAATCCTAGAAGATAATATAGGAGGAAACCTAGATAACCTTGGGCATGGCGATTACTTTTTAGATATAATACCGAAGGCATGAGCCATGAAATAAATAAGTTATAAGTTGGGCTTTATCAAAATTAAACTATTGCTTGGTGAAAAACAATGTCAAGAAAATGAGAGGACAAGCCACAGACTGGGAGGAAATATTGCAAAAGACACACCTGATAAAGTACTGCTATCCAAAATATATGAAGAACTTTTAAAGTTCAATAATAAGAAACCAGACACCCAATTTAAAAATAGGTATAAGACCTAAACAGACACCTCACCAAAGAAGATATACAGATGGCAAGTAAGCATATGAAAAGACATTCAACATCATGTCATTGGGGAATTGCAAATTAAAACAAGATACCACTACACATCTACTAGAATGGCCAAAATTCAAAACACTAACAACAAAATGCTGGTGAGGATGTGAAACAATAGGAACTCATATTCATGGCTGCTGGGAATGCAAAATGATCGTCACTTTGGAAGACAATTTGACATCTTACAAAACTAAATATAGTCTTACCATACAGTCCAGTAATGTGCTCCTTGGAATTTATCCAAAGGAGTTGAAAACTTATGTCCATATAAAAACCTGCACATGGATGTTCATAGCAGCTTTATTTATAATTGCCAAAATTTGGAAGTGACCAAGATGTCCTTCAGTAGGTTAATAGATAAATAAAATGTGTTACGTCCAGACAATGGGATTATTATTCAGCTTTTAGAAGAAATGAACTATCAAGCTATGAAAGGACACAAAGGAAAGTTAAACACATATTACTAAGTAGAGGAAGCCAATCTGAAAAATGCTACAAGTATGTACCTTTTTTATTCCAACTATATGAAATTCTGAAAAAGGCAAAACTATGGAGATAGTAAAAACATTAGTGGTTGCAAGGCGTTAAGGAGGAGGGAGGGATGACTAGAACACAGAAGATTCTTAGGACAGTAAAACTACTCTGTATGAAACTATAATGGTGAATACATGTCATTATACATTTCTCAAAACCCACAGAATGTACAATACCAAGAGTGAACCCTAATTAAACTGTGGACTTTGAGTGATAATGATGTGTCAATGTATGTTCACTGAATGTAACAAATGGACCACTCAGATGCAAGATGTTGATAGTGGAGAGATTGTGGGTGTGTGGGGACAGTAGGTACCTGGGAACTCTCTGCACTTTCTGCTCAATTTTTCTGTGAACCTAAAAGTGCTCTAAAAAATGAAGTTTGCTAATTAAAAAAATTAAAAGGCAACATACCAGTTATCTTAAATTTCACCATAGAATTTTAACGTATATAAGAAATCAAAAAGAAATATACACAATATAGAAAGAACACATACCAATCAATAATAAAAATAATAAGCAAATAAAAAATGGGTAATACAAACTGCAGCTGTGCATATGAAAATGATGAGAATCAAAATTATTAATATTGAGTAAACAAAGCATGTCCCAAAAGAATATGTATAGTGTATCTCTATTTGTATAAAAGTTTTTTTTAAATATATTTTATTGATTTTTTACAGAGAGGAAGGGAGAGGGATAGAGAGTTAGAAACATCGATGAGAGAGAAACATCAATCAGCTGCCCCCTGCACACTCCCCACTGGGGATGTGCCTGCAACCAAGGTACATGCCCTTGACCGGAATCGAACCTGGGACCCTTGAGTCTGCAGGCCAACGCTCTATCTGCTGAGATAAATCAGTCAGGGCTGTATAAAAGTTTTTAAAAGGCAAAACCAAGTTATAAATGTTTGGGGATTCATATACTCATGGCAATACTATAAAAAACAGCAAGAAAATGATTTCATACAAAATTTAGTTAAGTTGTTACCTCTGAAGGGTAAGGGAAGGAGGCAGATACATTTGAAGAGAAACACACGGGAACTCCAAAGGAACAAGTCATTTCTGTGCTTATGCTCACTGGTGGGTCATAGTTGTACCCTTAAGTATTACTCTCTAAACTCTGCACATACATTATACGCTCTTCTATCTACATGCTGTATTTTATACTAAAGAAAAAATAATGTATAATGAATAGACAATTCATAGAAGAAATAGAAATACCATTTAATGTATAAAAAGTTAGTCTACAGCCCTAGCTGATTTGGCTCAGTGGATAGAGCGTCGGCCTGCGGACTGAAGGGTCCTAGGTTCAATTCCGATCAAGGCACATGCCTGGGTTGTGGGCTTGATTCCCAGTGGGGGATGTGCAGGAGGCAGCCAATCAATGATTCTCTCTCATCATTGATGTTTCTATCTATCTCTCCCTCTCTCTTCCTCTCTGAAATCAATAAAAATGTTTTTTTCAGTCTACATTAATTATAAAAATTCAAATTGAAATGCATTATCTTTTCTTAAATACTTTAGATTGGCAAAAGTTTTAAAAAATCCATAAGTTCAGTATTGTGACGAGTAGGGAGAAATGAGCACTCAAATACAATTGTAGGTGATAGAGTAAGTTGTCACAGTCATAAGGCAGGGCATTATGCTGCTCTGTACTATAGTAACACTGGGTGAGGGAAGCTTCTACCTTGCTTACGTTTGTTTAAATATTATGAACATGTATTACATTTATAATAAAAAACTGATGAAGATATTTTTAAAGGAGTTAATAAGAAAATTCAAATATATCTATATTTGAATAAGAAAGCAAACTCTTGGATTAATGTTTATCATAAATGTTCAATTTCATAAACTTATTTTTATAGTGATATTTTTAATAAGTTAAGATTTATAGTTATAATTTATAGAGTTTCAAAAGTTGGAAATGAAAATCTTTATAATTGAACAAAATTCCATCAGTCTTGCCATGTGTAAAACAATTTTATTTGTATTACAACAGAGCTACCAGAGAAAAGGAGAATGCATCAATTGACACCTCTCAGGTAATCTAGATTGAGCAATTTGTCTTTTTTTTTTATTATTTTAATCATCATCATCATTGTGTAGAACAGTGGTTCTCAACTTTGGCTGCACATTAGAATCACCTAGGAATCTTTTTAAAATCCTGATTTCTGGGCCTCATCCTCCGGAAATTCTGTTTCTTTGTTATGGGGTGAGGCCACAACATTAGTAACAAAGAAAAAGAATTTCCGGAGGATGAGGCCCAGAAATCAGGGTTTTAAAAAGATTCCCAGGTGATTCTAATGTGCAGCCAAGGTTGAGAACCACTGGTGTAGAATATAATGTGTCCTGTTCTTTCCTTCTTCTACAGATGGATATTTGATAAATTCTCTGTAAATGTAATCATCTGTCTCTGTTGCTCATCTTATCTTCTCATTGATTCTTTCATTCATTTGTTCATGTATTTATTAATTTACAAAACAGGTAATTCCTGAGTGCCTGCTTTGTGCCAGCCACAAAAAAAATGCTAGGCAAAGGGAGTCAGCAGTGAGTAAAGCAAATCCTGTGTCTTTATGAAACTTAGAATCTATTTGGAAAGACAGGCACTAAATAATTACAGGTATGAAGAGTGTTACAAAAGGGTGCTTTAGGAGACTACAACAAGAAACTTGACCAGGATGAGGGTCAGGAAAGACCTCCTGAAGGAAATAATGTTAAAGCTGAAATTGATGCATGCAGATACAGTAGCTAGTTAAAAAAAAAAAAAAAAAAAGTGGGAAAAGCACATTTCAAATAGAAGGAATTGCATTTTCAAAAATCTTAGGTACAAAGGAGCACATTTGGGTTTTTGTTTTGTTTTGTTTTTTAATATATTTTATTGATTTTTTTACAGAGAGGAAGGGAGAGAGTTAGAGAGTTAGAAACATCGATGAGAGAGAAACATCGATCAGCTGCCTCCTGCACACTCCCTACTGGGGATGTGCCCGCAACCAAGGTATATGCCCTTGACCGGAATCGAACCTGGGACCTTTCAGTCCGCAGGCTGACGCTCTATCCACTGAGCCAAACCATTTTCGGCAAAGGAGCACATTTGAAATACATACATACATACATACATACATACACAAACATAACTTTTCACAAGAGAAAAGAGCAAAGGAAAGGGTGGTGTGTAACTAGGCTAGAGAAACGGGCAGGGGCAATTCTGCTGAGACTCTTATCATAATTCTTTTTTTCTCATTAAACTTTGTTTTAATGGATCTTAAAATTCTGTGACAGATTTTTGGTCAAGTTGTTTCCATTAAAAAGTACTGATTTTAAAAACTAATAACTTAAAAACTACCTCCCCCCACCCCCACCCCCCACACACAAATGGTCCACAAAACAGTCTCCTTTCCTTCTGAAGGTCTGACGATGTATTGTAATCATTAACCAGTCTTTTACCATTAAACTTAAATGGCCAGTTGAGACAAACAGTTCTGAGACGTTCTTCCACCACTGATTAAGATGGGGTGGCAGGTGTTGGGGATAATACTCATTTAGCCTTCTGAGCTTTCTGGGCAGACTTGGTGACTGCCAGCTCCAGCTGCCTTCTTGTCCACTGCTTTTATGACACCCACAGCAACTGTTTGTCTCATGTCAGGAACAGCAAAACAGCCCAGAGGAGGAGAGTCAGAGAAGCTCTCAACCAACACACATGGGCTTGCCAGGAACCATATCGACGATGGCAGCATCACCAGATTTCAAAAATTTAGGGCCATCTTCCAGCTTTTTCCCAGTACAATGATCAATCTCCTTTAGCTCAGCAAATCGGCAAGCAATGTGAGCTGTGTGACAGTTCAACACAGGTGCATATCCAGCACTGATTTGGCCTGGATGGTTCAGGATAATCACCTGAGCTGTGAAGCCAGCTGCTTCTATTGGTGGGTCATTTTTGCTGTCACCAGCGGCATTACCATGATAAACATCTTTGAAAGACATGTTCTTGACATTGAAGCTCACATTGTCCCCAGGAAAAGCTTCACTCAAAGCTTCATGGTGCATTTCAACAGAGTTGACTTCAATTGTAACATTGACTGGAGCAAAGGTGACCATCACGCCAAGTGTGAGAATACCAGTTTCCACCTGGCCCACAGGGGCAGTACCAATACCATCATTTTGTAGACATTCTGGGAGGGGCAGACACAGGGGCTTGTCAGTTGGACGAGTTGGTGGCAGGATGCAATCCAGAGCTTCAGGCAGCACGGTTCCACTGGCATTGCCATCTTTATGAGTGACTTTCCTTCCCTTGAACCAAGGCATATTAGCACATGGCTCCAGCATGTTGTCTCCATTCCAACCAGAAATTGGCACAAATGCTGTGTCAGGGTTGTAGCCAATTTTCTTAATTAGGTGCTGACTTCTTTAACAATTTCCTTGTACCTTGCAATCAGTTTTTCACACCCAGTGTGTAAGCCAGAAGGGCATGCTCACAGTTCTGCCATTCTTGGAGATACCTGCTTCAAATTCCACTAGCAGCAACAATCAGGACAGCACAGTCAGCCTGAGATGTGCCTGAATCATGTTTGTTTTTTCGTTTTGTTTTTGTTTTTATTTTGAATCGTGTTTTTTATGAAGTCTCTGTCTCTTGGGGCATCAATGATGATCATCTAATACTTGCTGGTCTCAAATGTCCACAGGGATATATCAGTGGTGATACTATGCTCATGTCCAGCTTTGGGTTTATCCCATACTTGAAGGTGCCTTCCCCATCTCAGCAGCCTCCTTCGCAAATTTTTCGATATTTCTTCCCTTGGATTACAACTTGGAAATCCCTTGGAAGAATCAGATGAAGGCTGTGAATCATCTCTATAGCAAAATAATTTGTTATACTGTTTGAGGGAGTTCACAACTCTAAAGCTTATCCATAGATCCCAGGATAATAATCCCTACATTGAGAGTTCAGGTGTGGCAAAAATAACATGTTACTAAACAATGAATGGGTCAACAATGAGATCAGGGAAGAAATCAAAAGATACCTTGAGACAAATGAAAATGAACACACAACAACCCAAATCCTATGGGACACAGCAAAAGCAGTACTAAGAGGGAACGACATAAGAATGCCTTAAGAAACAAGAAAACATTCAAATAAACAACCTAACTTTACACCTAAAGCCGTGGTCGGCAAACTGCGACTCGAGAGCCACATGTGGCTTTTTGGCCCCTTGAGTGTGGCTCTTCCTAAGCCTTAGGAGTACCCTAATTAAGTTAATAACAATGTACCTACATATATAGTTTAAGTTTAAAAAATTTGGCTCTCAAAAGAAATTTCAGTCATTGTACTGTTGATATTTGCCTCTGTTGACTAATGAGTTTGCCGACCACTGACCTAAAGGAACTAGAAAAAGAACAACAAACAAAGCCCAAAGTGAGTAGAAGGAAAGAGATAATAAAGATTAGAGTGGAAATAAATGACATAGGGACTAAAAAAACAAATAAAAAAACAACAAAAGATCAATGAAACCAAGAGTTGGTTCTTTCAAAAGATAAACAAGATTGACAAACTTTTAACCAGATTCAAAGAAAAAAAGAGAGAGGATCCAAATAAATAAAATCAAATAAAAGAGAAGTAAAAATTGACACCACAAAAATACAAAGGATTGTAAGAAAATAATGTGAACAACTATATGCTAATAAATTTGATAACCTAATCAAAATGGATAAATTCCTAGAGACATACACTCTTCCAAAACTGAATCAAGAAGAATCAGAAAATCTGAACAGACTAATTACAACAAATGATATTGAAGCAGTAATAATAAAAAAAAACCACCTCACAGATAAAGATACTACAAAGAAAGAAAATCATAGGCCAGTATCCCTGATGAATGAACATAGATGCAAAAATCCTCAATAGCATGGAGTTTTCTCAGAAAATTAAAAATTGCTTTTACCTTATGATCTAGTAATTCCACTTCTGGGAATTTATCCGAAGAAATCCAGAACACTAATTTGAAAGAATATATGCACCCTTATGTTCATTGCAGCATTATTTACAATAGTTATAAAGCTATGGAGAGGAGAAACCAAGATGGCGGCATAGGTAAACACCGGAGTTTGCTGTCTCGAACAACCACTTCAAAAATACAACTAAAAGACGGAACGGACATCATCCAGAACCACAGGAAGGCTGGCTGAGTGGAAGTTCTACAACTAGGAGGAACCGAGAATCAGAGGAGGTGCAGTGCTGAAGTAAAATACTAAGGTGCGGAGTGCATGTAGAGTGAGCGGCGGCTGAGGGCGCGGTTGTCGTTTTCAATCAGGAGGGAGTCTCAGGCTCTGAGCTCTAGTTCCGGGCGAGTCTCTAGGGACCCAGACTCATACGGGAGAAGTGGGACTGTCTGGCATCGCTCAGAACCCTAGGGCAGCTTTCTCTCCGTGGGGTTTGCAGCGATTACTGGGACACTGAGAAGCAGAGCCTCTGAGGGCAGGACTGAGAGCAGCCATAATTGCTAACCCCGCCATGTTGATCCCGTGGGACCCGCCCCGCCCAAGCCCTGCAGGGAGACTTTTGCTGGATAGCCTCAGGCAAAGGCTAGATTAGCACCTCCCTAGAGATCCAGGAGCCAGGAAGCCCAGAGGTCAGAGTGAGACCATCCAGTTCGCAGCTCCGTGGAACCATAAAAGACACACTCAGGGGGCAGACTCAGTGAGCACCAAAGCCCCATCGAAGCAAGTCTACCCCCAGAGGGGTGTCTCCAACACAGAAGTCTCCCACTGCAGACACAGCTGATTCTCACAGCCAATTGGCCTGGAGGTCAATTCCTCACAGTGATAACTACAACAATCAAGGCTTAACTACAACAAGACTGAGCACAAAGCCCACAAGGGGGTGCACCAAGAGTGTCTACCTCAGGTAATTGGGACATTTAGCACAAAAAGGCACTCTATCGACACAGCGAAGCATAAAAAATGCCGAGACAAAGAAACAGGACACAAACGACAGAATTGGAGGAAAGCAAACTGTTGGATATAGAGTTCAAAACCACACTTTTAAGGTCTTTAAAGAATTGTCTAGAAGCCGCCGATAAATTTAATAAGGCCCTCGAAAAGACTGGTGAGACTGCCGATAAATGTAGTGAGATCTTCAAGAAGACTGGTGAAACCGCCGATAAATGTAGTGAGATCCTCAAGAAATCTAATGAGACCCTCAATGTTGTCATAAAGAACCAACTAGAAATTAAGCATACACTGACTGAAATAAAGAATATTATACAGACTGCCAACAGCAGACCAGAGGGTCGCAAGAATCAAGTCAAAGATTTGAAATACGAAGAAGCAAAAAACACCCAACCGGAGAAGCAAAATGAAAAAAGAATCCAAAAATACGCAGGAGGGAGGGGAGTAAGAGATCAACCGAAGGACTTGTATGCATGCATATAAGCATAACTAATGGACATAAGACACTGGGGGGTAAGGGAGGGTAGGGGTTTGTCAAGGGCGGGGGGGAAAAAAAAGGACACTTATGTAATACCCTTTGTAATACTTTAAGCGAAAAATAAAAAAATATAAAAAAAAAATACGAAGATAGTGTAAGGAGCCTCTGGGACAGCTTCAAGCGTACCAACATCCGAATTATAAGGGTGCCAAAAGATGAGAGAGAGCAAGATATTGAAAACCTATTTGAAGAAAAAATGGCAGAAAACTTCCCCTACCTGGTGAAAGAAATAGACTTACAAGTCCAGGAAGCACAGAGAACCCCAAACAAAAGGAATCCAAAGAGGACCACACCAAGACACATCATAATCAAAATGCCAAGAGCAAAAGACAGAGAGAATCCTAAAAGCAGCAAGAGAAAGAAAATCAGTTACCTACAAGGGAGTACCCATACGACTGTCAGCTGATTTCTCAACAGAAACTTTGCAGGCCAGAAGGGAGTGGCAAGAAATATTCAAAGTGATGAATACCAAGAACCTACAACCAAGACTACTTTATCCAGCAAAGCTATCATTCAGAAGTGAAGGCCAGATAAAGAGCTTCACAGATAAGAAAAAGCTAAAGGAGTTCATCACCACCAAACCAGTATTATATGAAATGCTGAAAGGTATCCTTTAAGAAGAGGAAGAAGAAGAAAAAGGTAAAGATACAAATTATGAACAACAAATACACATCTATCAACAAGTGAATCTAAAAATCAAGTGAATAAATAATCTGATGAACAGTATGAACTGGTGATTGTAATAGAATCAGGGACATAGAAAGGGAATGGACTGACTATTCTTGGGGCGGGGGGAAAGGGGTGTGGGGGTGAGTGAAGAGATTAGACAATAATCGTGCACCTATGGATGAGGACAGTGGGTGGGGAGTAAGGACGGAGGGTGGGGTGGGAACTGGGTGGAGAGGAGTTATGGTGGGAAAAAAGAGTAACTAATGTAATAATCTGAACAATAAAGATTTAATTAAAAAAATAAATTTAAAAAAATTTTAAAAAAGAGAAAAAAAGAAATAAATAAAGCTATGGAAGCCGAAACCGGTTTGGCTCAGTGGATAGAGCGTCGGCCTGCGGACTGAAAGGTCCCAGGTTCGATTCCGGTCAAGGGCATGTACCTGGGTTGCGGGCACATCCCCAGTAGGAGATGTGCAGGAGGCAGCTGATCGATGTTCTCTCTCATCGATGTTTCTAACTCTCTATCTCTCTCCCTTCCTCTCTGTAAAAAATCAATAAAATATATTTAAAAAAAAAAAAAAAAAAAAGCTATGGAAGCAACCCAATTTCCCACTAATAGATGAATGGATAAAAAAAGCTGTGGTACCTATATACAATGGAATATTACTCAGCCATAAAAAGAATGAAATCTTACCATTAGCAATAGCATAGATGTACCTAGAGGATATTATCTTAGTGACAAGAGTCAGCCAGAGAGAGACAAATACCATATGATTCCACTGATGTGTGGAATCTAAAGAACAAAGTAAACAAGCAAAACTGAAACAGACTCATAGACGCAGAAAGAGAACTGGTGGTTGCCAGAGGGAAGGGGGTTTGGAGGACTGGGTTTTCTAAAGATGGGAGGGAGATTTGGGATGGTGCTGAAAAAGGTGAAACAATTAAGAAGTACAAATTGGTAGTTACAGAATAGTCATAGGGATGTAAAGTACATTATAGGGAATTTGGTCAATAATAATGTAATAACTATGTATGGTGTCAGATGGGTATTAGATATATTGGTGTGATCACTAAGTTATAGAATGTCCAATCATTGGGTTATACACCTGAAACTAATATGATATTGTATGTCAACTATAATTGTATGTCAGCTATAATTGGAAAAAAATATTAAAAAACAAAACATTATGCTGAGTAAAAGGAGTGTTACACAAGAAAAAATAATAATTCAGGTGTGATTTAAAAACACACAGGATCACTTTATAGAAGCTTTAAGTATGAAGAAACAGCTTAGAAATGGGCAGAGGACTCACTCTTTTTAAAAATGTTTTGTTAATCCTCACCTGAGGATATTTTTCCATTGATTTTTAGAGAGAGTGGAAGAGAGGGGGAGAGACAGAGAAAGAGAAATGTTGATATGAGAGAGATACATCAATTGGTTGCCTCCCACACAGGCCCTGCAGGGATCAAGCCTGCAACCAAGGTATGTGTCCTTGACTGGTACCAAACCCGGGACCCTTCAGTTAGAGGGCCAACACTTTATCCACTGAGCCAAACCAGCCAGGGCAGGACTCACTTTTTAAAAAGAAATAATGCATTTCACACACACATAATTTTTTTAAAAGAACTTTTGCTTCTGAAGAATCGAGACTTTGGTAAAGCTGAAAAAGTTTATAACTGTAGATCAAGAGTTTATGAGCCTGAGTGGTTGCCATCCCAGTGACTTCCAAAGCCAGCAATAGGAACGTAGCTAGCAGTTTGGATAAACGAAGCAGGGTGAAAGTGCCCATCTCAGCCAAAATCTTTTCTTAGGGTCTCACAAAACAGACCTAAGTAGTTTGATTCTAAATGTTTGCCTCACATATTTACAAGGAAAAAATACCTTATATATGTAAAGACCACATTTTTCAAAGTGCTTTCACATAATTTCAAACCATGTTAAATGGTGTGGCAGTTCCTCAAAAAATTAAACATAGAATTACAGTATGATCCAGCAATTCCTTTTATGAGTACATATCCAAAAGCGAAAGTAAGCAAACAGATAGTTGTATACTTATGTTCTTCATAGCGCATTATTTACAGCAGCCAAAAGGTGGAAGATATCTGGCAATCCAGGTGTCGTTGACAGATGAATGCATCCACAAAATATGGTACATACACACAGTGGATTATTATTCCATTAAGAAGGAAGAAAATTCTGACACCTGCTACAAATGGATGAATCTTGAAGACATTATACTAAATGAAATAAGCCAGACACAAAAGGACAGATACTGTATGATGCCACTTACATGAAATATCTAGATGAGTAGTCAGACTCATAGAGACAAGAAGTAGAATAGTGGTTGCCAGGAGCTAGGGGGAGGGAGGAATGGGGAGTTATTGTTTAATGGGTACAAAGGTTTAGTTTGGGAAGATGTAAAAGTGCTAGAGATGAATGGTGATGATGGTTGCACAACAATGTGAATGTATTTAATGCCACTTAAAATGATTAATACACTTAAAATGGTTAATATGATAAATTTTGTTATGTGTATTTTACCACAATAAAAAATATATTCATGTCAGCTATTGTTCATAAGGATGATTATTGACATTTATATAGGACACAGATCTAATTTGTTAAATATACTGACATCACAAACTAGTCTTGAGATGAACTAATTTTTTGGTCTAATTTTTTAATAATCCAAATAAAATGTGCTTGCAACATATAAACTTAATTTGCTTTCTTTTTTTGTGCCAACAGAAAAATCAAGAGGATCTAGGCCTATGGGAGGAGAAATTTGGAAAATTTGTGGATGTCAAAGTTAATGGTAAAATTGAAACTGGTGTAGTGCTAAAACAGATATTTCCAAAATGGCTAAATATCTCTATCCAAAAGTTCCTGGAGTTTTGGCAACTAAACAAGTAACTTCTGCAAGATGAACAGAAATCTCAGATTTGAGTCCCCTATCCTAATATATAAAAACCCAGGATCTGTAACGACTGACCAAAGGCTCTACTGAACACTGGAAGTCAGTCCTGCAGTCAGTGCTGGGTTGCCGTGGCGACCCAGCACTGACTGCCAAGGGGGCTGCTGATCAGCCCCGCCTCTCTGATCAGGCCCAGAGATAGGCCCGGAGACGCTAACTGGCATAGAAATCAACCAATCAGAACCAAATCTGGGTGAACTGTGAGGAGCCAATGGCTGACTAAGAGGTGGAGCTTTTGACGCTGACTGGCATAGAAACCAACTAATCAGAACCAAATTGGCCGGCAGGGAAGGGCAGTTGGGGGCGAGATCAGGCTGGCAGGGGAGGGCAGTTAGGAGTGATCAGGCAGGTAGAGGCAGTTGGGGGTGAGATCAGGCCAGCAGGGGAGAGCAGTTGGGGGTGAGATCAGGCCAGCAGGGGAGGGCAGTTAGGGGCAATCAGGCAGGCAGGCAGGTAAGTGGTTAGGAGCCAGCGGTCCCAGATTGCGAGAGGGATGTTCGATTGGAGAGAGTGCAGGCTGGGCTGAGGGAATTCCTCCTCAGTGCACAAATTTCATGCACCAGGCCACTCATTCTTCCATAATGCATTGCAACAAAGAAATAATGATTATATGCCTTCTGTGGAGCGTATAAAAGAACTATAGGCCTCATAGAGCTTATGGTCTCATGGAGTGCCCTAGATCAGCACACTATTTGCACTATCCAGTATATCACATAGCTGCAAATTCCACATTCTATTTTTATGAGAGTCAAGTGATGATAAAACAATCTCTAGAGCTCATCAGCTCCAACATTCCAAGTCAGTGGTTCTCAACCGTTGCCAGGCCTCCCCATCATGCACATGAGCATCACATGCCCATCTGTGACATTTCTCCCTAGGTTTAGTGATGGGAGTGTGTGTGTGTGTGTGTGTGTGTGTGTGTGTGTATGTGTGTAGTTTGTCTCTTTGGGAGATACCTTTCAGATATTTGGGACTTATGTAGCCAGAACTGCCCTGTAGAATGATAGACCCTCCCTAATTCCTTGAGAATCCCTGTTCTAGCATCTATATCTATAGCCTAGCATATTATCAGGGCTGACAACTTGCCCAAAATTTATAAGCAAGGGGCGGGGGGCATCATAATCTATTTTGCCTTTTCTATAGAACCCTCATTCCATACACTCCTCCAAATAAGGATCATTTGAGGTCAAATACTTTAACCTATAAATGAATTTAAGGTGATGTTATCTTTCCTGACTATTTGCATTTTCCCATATCTCTAAAATAATTGTTAACTAAAAGACTTTGCCTTTGGTTAAAGGAAATTTATGTGTTTACAATCACAGGGTATTCTGAGGAGCCAGGAAAGATCCTCCTAGTGCCCTTGACATTATAGTCCCTGAACACAGTGAGAAAAATAATCAGGCAGGAGACACCCACTCTTTCATCTAGCGAAGATTAAAATTGCTCAGTATCCTTTGGTTTCTAAAGCAAAGGAGTACCTAATATATTTTAGAAAAGTTTAGATTAAAAAGAAAGTTAAAACTTTGTAGCCATATGTTACCAATAAAAAGATTTAGTATAAATGAGAACACGGAGAGATTCAGCACACAGCTAAGTGAACATAAGTGATGAGTGACCAGAACTTTGCCTTTTGCATTTTTGTATCCTCACAACACCTGAATACAGAAGTCAGCACACGTGGTTTACTGATAGATCAGGGAAAGCTCCCATCTCTAGATCTCTAGTTTAGTCATCTTGCTACACTCACAGTTAACTGATTGCCCCAATGAGAAGCAAAACTCAGTCAATATCCTGGTCTCCACAGGTCCTGCCTCCATTGGTTTGGATTTCTCCTTGCATGGATTTGAGCATCTCTATGGGATCCCACAACATGCAGAATCACACCAACTTAAAAATACTGGGTAAAGTGAAAACAAGAATTATTATGGGAAAAGCATTGCTTATAGATCTTGAAGAATCTCCCTTGAAGTACCCTAGCTGGTTTGGTTCAGTGAATAGAGCATCAGCCTGCAGACTGAAGGGTCCCGAGTTCAATTCCAGTCAAGGGCACATGCCCAGACTGCAGGCTCAATCCCCAGTAGGGGGCATGCAGGAGGCAGCTGATTAATGATTCTCATCGATGTTTCTATCTCTCTCTCCTTCTCCCTCCCTCCCTGGAATTAATAAAAATAAAAAAATTTAAAAAAAGAATCTTCCACTCAGAACAGTAGTTCTCAATTTTTTTTGAGGGGGGGCAAAAAATTAGATAATTCTAAAAACTGTAATGCTGAACCTAAAAATATAAAGGAAGTAAATATATGGAGTTGCTGTGGTTGAAATAGGGGTTGGTGGGAATTTTATTACATCACCGCCTGGGTTTTGCCTTTACCTCTCAAGGCCTTACTGTGGAACCCTGAGAGAATGCACTGTGAAAAACACTGACCTAGAAAAACGCTTTACTAAGAAAGGACAGTGAGCCAGAGAATGGGGAAGTGTAGCATTTCATACCACCTTTGATTTTCTCAAGGAGGTCATTTCAAACTAACACTACTGGCAAATAAATGCCAGAGGCAGATGACTAACTGGAAGCAAAACCAAAGATACACATGCCAAACCGGTTTGGCTCAGTGGATAGAGTGTCGACCTGCGGACTGGGAGGTCCTGGGTTCGATTCCGGTCAAGGGCATGTGCCTTGGTTACGGGCACATCCCCAGTGGGGGGTGTGCAGGAGGCGGCTGGTCGATGTTTCTCTCTCATCGATGTTTCTGGCTCTCTATCCCTCTCCCTTCCTCTCTGTAAAAAATCAATAAAATATTAAAAAAAAAAACCAAAGATACACAGAGTCTGATCAGGCTTGTCAGGTTCAGATGCTGTTTATGTGACAGGGCAGCATAGTGACAGGTGTATCAGAAACTGTGCTGCTCTAACATCAACCTGAGCTCTGCTCCCCACCCCAATTCAGGTCCTGAATTTTTCCCTACTCAGCACTGAATCTGCACATTAAGACATTATCATTTTGTTTAAGTGGCAGAGAAATACAAAATTTGTCAAAAATATCTATTGTGTGCTTGCTATTGTAGAGGATTCACAGGAAACAGTCCTAAACTCACAAGAGATATTTAGCAAAGATGTCTTAAATATGAGATTATGTATACCAATTGTCTATTGAGGGATGCAAATGAATCAAAGGAGGAGGACCATATTCACCCAGGTTGGATCAGAAACCTTTAGGGAAGTGGTAAAGTTGAACCTGAAAGATGCATAGGATCCAAGTGCAGGGGAGAATGGAGCCATCTTATTCATTAATAATACATCTGTGATGGTAATTGATAATCCTTGTGTGTTTCAGTGGTGAGGATGCTTACCGTCTTTATAACCTGGATGTCTATGAATATGAAATACATAACAAAATGGGCATTTATGGTTCAGTGCCTTATCTCTTGGCCCACAAACTGGGTAGGACTTTAGGCATTTTTTGGCTGAATTCTTCAGAAACTCTAGTGGAAATCAATACAGAGCCTGCAGTCAAGGTAAGCTATGGACCATGTCTGTATGTCCCACTTAAAGAAGAAACAAAACTAGTAAAGTGTAGTCATAGCTCTGGGCTTTATAGTGGCAGTTCTCTGCCACCAGTCATTGCAGTATATGAAAGGAACAGATTGTTACTCCCATATGGATGAACATTGTAGGTTAGAGGGAAATATTTCAAACCTTCATTCCATTTCTTTTCCAGATGGGCCCAGTTGATGCTAAACAAAAGAGCAAATCTCGAACTGATGTGCATTGGATGTCAGAGAGTGGAATCATTGATGTTTTTCTGCTGACAGGGCCTACACCTTTTGATGTCTTCAAGCAGTACTCATCTCTTACAGGTACCTGCATGTAGAAGAGCCCATTTCTTGTTCCATTACATTTTCTCCATCCCCTGTATCATTGCTATAAGTTAATATTTATTGTACACCATATAGAATTCATAAACAACTTGCCCAAGCTTTTTAAGAAGCAAGCATTTCTCTTCCCACCCTCATTCTATTCAGCTTGGCTAAACATTGCACTGCAGCTAGAACTCTCCATTCTCTCATCCTTAATACTTGCTATCTGCCTCTTTGGAGCCTTTAACCCCTGGGCTTTCTCTACCTTCATCTCAGATTATCAGTATCCCAACCTTTTCTATGTTCTCTTTTTTATTAAAATATACCACTGACTTTAGCTCTAAAGCATTTTATCTTTAAAGGACATACTCATTTCTGCACCTCAGTTGGTGCAGAAAAAGCATTTGACAAAATTCAACACTATTTCATGAGAAAAGCACTCAGAAGACCCCAATAGAAGGAAACTTTCTCAACATGATAAAAGGCATTTATGAAAAATCCACAGCTAACATCATACTCAGTGGTGAAAAGCTACAAGCTTGCCCCTAAGATCAGAAACAAAATAAGGCTGCTCATTTTCACCACTGCTATTGAACAATGTGCTGGAAGTTCTGGCCAGAGCAACTACTCTAGAAAAATAAATAAAAGGCATCCAAATTGTAAAGGAAGACGTAAAATTCTCTTTTTCCAGATAATGTGATCCTATATGTTAAAAAATCCCAAAGAATCCACACAAAAACTACTAAATCTAATAAGCAAGTTGACCAAAGTTGCAGCGTACATGATCAACATACAAAATCAGTTGTATGTGTTTTTATTAAAATATATTTTATTTATTTCAGTGAGGAAGGGAGAGAGAGAGAGAGAGAGAAACATCAATGATGAGAGAGAATCATTGATTAGCTGCCTCCAGCACATCCCCTAATGGGGATCAAACCACGACTTCCTGGTTTATAGGTCAACACTCAACCACTGAGCCATGCTGGGTGGGCAAAATCAGTTGTGTTTTTACACACCAGCATTGAACAACTTAAAAAAGAAATTGAGAAAACCATTTCATTTACAATAACATTCAAAAGAATAAAATCACTTAGGAATAAATTTAATCAGAGAAATAAAAAACTTGTACACTAAGAAATATAAAATATTCCTTAAAAGAAATTAAAGAAGGCCTAAATAAATGGAAATATATCCCATGTTCATGAATTAGAAGACTTAACATCATTAAGATGGCAATACTACTGAAAGCAATCTATAGATTCACTGCAATCCCTACCAAAATTCCAACAGCCATTTTTGAAGAAATGGAAAAGCTGATCTTTAAAGTCATATAGAATTGCAAAAGAGCCCTGAATAGCCAAACAATCCTGAAAAAAAAAAGTTGGAGAACTCATACTTCCCGATTTCAAAAATGACTATAAGGTTAAAATAATCCAAATAGTAGGTTACTGGAATATGGATAAGACATTTAGATCAGTGGAATAGAATTAAAGGCCAGAAATAAACCCATACATCTCTGGCCAAGTGATTTTCAACACAGGTTCAAGACCATTCAATGTGGGAATGAATAGTCTCTTAAACACATGGTTCTGGGACAATTAGATATCCACATGCAAAAGAATGAAGTTGGGTCCTAACCAGTTTGGCTCAGTGGATAGAGCGTCGGCCTGCAGACTCAAGGATCCCAGGTTCAATTTTGGTCAAGGGCATGTACCTTGGTTGCGGGCACATACCCAGTAGGGAGTGTGCAGGAGGCAGCTGATCGATGTCTCTCTCTCATCGATGTTTCTAACTCTCTATCTCTCTTCCTTCTTCTCTGTAAAAATCAATAAAATATATTTTTTTAAAAAGAATGAAGTTGGAACCCTACCTCACACCATACACAAAAAAAGTAACTCAAAATGGATAGAAAAATGTCAGAGCTAACACCATAAAATTCTTAGAAGAAAATGGGTAAATCGCCCGGCCAGCGTTGCTCAGTGGTTGAGCATCAGCTATGAACCAGGAAGTCACGGTTGGATTCCCAGTCAGGGCACATATCTGGGTTGCGGGCTTGATCCCCATTGTAGAGCAGGAGTCAGCTAATCAATGATTCTCTCTCATAATTGATGTTTCTATCTCTCTCTCCCTCTCTCTTTCTCTCTAAAATCAATAAAAAACAATATTTTTTTAAAAAAGAAAATGGGTAACTCTTCATGACCTTGGATTTGGCAACAGATTCTTAGATATGACAACAAAATCATGAGCAAAAAAAGAAAAAAAGAGATAAGTTGGACTTCATTAAAATTTTTGAAGTGAAAAGGCAACCTATAGAATGAGAGAAAATGTTTGCAAATCATATATTTGATATTGAAAAGAAAACTGTTACCTACAAAGGAGTTCCCATAAGGCTGACACCTGATTTCTCATCAGAAACTCTACAGGCCAGAAGGGAATGGCATGAAGTTCTCAAGGTAATGGAAAGCAAGGATCTGAGACCAAGATTATTATATTCAGCAAGGCTATCATTCAAAATAGATGGTTAAATAAAGAGCTTCCCAGAAAGGCTAAAGAAGTTCATCACCACCAAGTCAGCATTACAAGAAATGCTAAAGGGATTACTATAAAGGATTGCTGAGGAGAAGAAACAGAGAGAGAAACCTAGCCGTACAGACTTAAAATGGCTATAAAGAAGTACCTCTCAATGGTAACCCTAAATGTAAATGGATTAAATGCTCCAGTCAAAAGGTGTAGTGTAGCTGAATGGATACAAAAACATGACCCGACTATATGCTGTCTACAAGAGACCCACCTCAGAAAACAAAAGACACACACAGGATGAAAGTGAAGGGATGGATAAATTTTTCCATGCAAATGGAAAAGGAAAAAAAAGCTGGAATAGCAATACTCATATCCGACAAAATAGACTTTAAAAGCATCCTGCTAAGCGAAATAACCCAGTCGGAGAAAGATAAATATTATATAATCTCACTCATTTGTGAAATATAATGAACAACATAAACTGATGAACAAAAATAAAGCCAGAGGGGGGAAAAATAGAATATAATAGAAGTATTCCTGTTATTTGCAGCTTTTTAATATTTCCTACAACTTTTATGATATCATACTATATTAGTACAGTTTGGGTAATATTATTATACTTAAAATCCTTTTATTCTTGAAATATTAATGTTTATTGCATGTAATATTATTATATGTAAGATCATTTTTCTTGAATAATTGGTGTTTATTGCATGTAACATTATATTTAAAATCATTTTTCTTGAGCTATTAATGTTTATTGCATGTAACATTACTATATTTAAGATAGTTTTTCTTAAAATATTAAGGTTTTGCCCTAACTGGTTTGGCTCAGTGGATAGAGCGTCGGCCTACGGACTGAAGGGTCCCAGATTCGATTCCGGTCAAGGGCATGTACCTTAGTTGCGGGCACATCCCCAGTGGGGGGTGTGCAGGAGGCAGCTGATCAATGTCTCTCTCTCATTGATGTTTCTAGCTCTCTATCCCTCTCCCTGCCTCTCTGTAAAAAATCAATAAAAATATATTTTAAAAAAATATTAAGGTGTATTGCATGTAACATTATTATATTTAAAATCATTTTTCTTGAAATTAAAAAAAGATGAATGGATAAAAAAAAGATGAATGGATAAACAAAATGTAATCCTATATAATAATAGAGGAATATGCAAATTGTCCAGGACGCCGTAATGTCATGACCTCTCAGCAGGAGGCATGCGTAGCAGGAGCCGGTGGGCGGGGATTGCCATCACTAGGAGGGCCTCCATGCTGCCTGGCCCAGGGGCGGCCCCTGGCAGAGGCTGCCCCCAGTAGAGGCGTGGGCAGGCCTGCCCAGCACTGATGTGACGCTGCCGGTGTGCGTCCCTGACCTGGGACATGGCGCTGCCTGCGTGTGTCCCCACCCAGTGCTGAGGTGAAGCTTCCTGCCTGCGTCCCTAGTCAGGGACGTGACACTGCCTGCCTGTGTCCCCGGCCTGGGATGTGATGCTGCCTGCGTGCATCCCCGCCCAGTTTATTAATAAATTTATATATTATTTTCATATACATTTTACTAATTTTCTTTTATCTCTGACACTTCTATTATAAAGGGCAAATAGTAATATTAAAATAGTTCCTCTAATTAATTCCCTTTTAATGTGCATGAATTTCATGCACCAGGCCACTAGTATATACATAAAATGGAATATTAGTCAGCCATAATAAGGAATGAAGTTCTGATACTTGCAACATGGATGAACCTTGAAAAAATTATGCAAAATGAAATAAGCCAGACACAAAAGGACAAATATATGATTCCACTTATAAGAAGTACCTACAATAGGCAAGTTTATAGAGACAGAAAGTAAATTAGCAGTTACCAAGGGCTGGAGGATGAAATAAGTAATGGAAAGTTGTTGCTTAATGGCTGCAGAGTTTCTGTAACAATTTGACTGAAGAGGCAGGCATGTAAACGAACTGCTGTGCTCTGAGGTATAAGTGCTATGTTAAAGGCATCAGCCTAGTGCTATGGAAATAAGAAGGGAATAAATTCTGCTATGAACATAGGGGTGCATGCATTCTTTCTGGTGTTTTGGGTTTCTTAGGATGTATTCCTAGAAGTGGGAGTCTAACTACCAAGCTGAGTGGATCCTGTCGGCGTTTAGAAAATGTTTTAACAAATACAGAATTATTGTGGTGGTAGTTGGCTCAGTGGTTATTGTCCTCTTCTAGGCACACAAGCCATGCCCCCTCTCTTCTCCTTGGGGTACCACCAGTGCCGCTGGAACTATGAAGATGAGCAGGATGTAAAAGCAGTGGATGCAGGATTTGACACACATGACATTCCTTATGATGTCATGTGGCTGGACATAGAGCACACCGAGGGCAAAAGGTACTTCACCTGGGACGAGAAAAAGTTCCCCAACCCCAAAAGGATGCAGGAGCTGCTCCGAAACAAAAAACGCAAGGTAAAATGAACCAACGTTTCTGAACCTTTTAGTTACAAGCACATTTTAAAACTTGATTTGATACATAAGTGGAGAACTATCTGATTTTTAAAACGGCCATGAAAATAGTACCTTCAAATGCATTTTGAAACTGTGATAACAGAAAGGTAATGGTGAAAAGGTGGGAACACCATCCATCCCTGCGTTAGTTGTCTAGGTCTCCATAAGGATGAAGGGGCCTAGCATTCAGGCCAGTTATTATGGCCACCCGTGTAGTAGTGTGATGGATCCCCCTGCCCATGCGAAATTTGGTTCTGATGTCGAGATTGATGACATCACACAGGTACCAAGATTAATTAGCCAAAGAACATATATTGATAACCCATAGACACAGACAACAGTGTGTTGATGGCCAGAGGGAAAGAGGCAGGGGCTGGGTGGAGGTGGGCAAAGGAAGAAGGTCAGGTAATGGGGATATCTGTAATAGTGTCAACAAATAAAAATAAAGTTTAAAAAATAATACATAATTTTAAAATATTAATTAGTCACATAGTAAGGCATTCTGGGGGGGAGTAAGGCTGGCTCCCAAGCTCATTTGAAATGGTCCTGAGAGAGGGAGACCAAGATGGCGGCGTAGGTAAACACCGGAGACCACTGCCTCATACAACCATTTCAAAAATACAACTAAAAGACGGAACGGACATCACCCAGAACCACAGGAAAGCTGGCTGAAGAGAGACTCTACAACTAGAAGGAAAGAGAACAGCAAACCGAGGCTCAGAGGAGGCGCAGTGTGGAAAATACAAAGGTACCGAGGTGCGCGCGCAAAGCAGGCTGGTGGCTGAGGGCGCGGTTGTCGTTTTCGGTCGGGAGTGAGTCTCAGACTCTGGGCTCCAGATCCGGGCGAGTCTCTAGGGACCCAGACTCAGACGGGAGAAGCGGGATTATCCGGCATCAGTTGGAACCTGAGGGCAGCTTTCTCTCCGAGGTTTGCAGCGGCTGCCGGGGTTCTGAGAAGCAGAGCCTCTGGGAACGGGACTGAGAGCGGCCATAGCTGCTCCCTCCGCCCGCCCTGTTGAGCCCGCCCCGCCCAAGCCCTGCGCACAGCCATTTGCCGATCGCCTCAGGCAAAGGCTGGATTAGCGCCTTCCCAGAAGACAGACGTTTTCCACACAGCTGATTCCTACAGCCAGTCAGCCTGGTGGTCAAATCCCTCTAGTGTTAACTACAACAATTAAGGCTTGGCTAGAACAAGACTGCGCACAAAGACCACAAGGGGGTGCACCAAGAAAGCATAAAAGATGCGGAGACAAAAAAACATGACAGAAATGGAGGATATGGAGCTAAGAATCGCAATTTTGAGGGCTTGCTATAAACTTGAGCAGAGCCTCACGAAAACTAATGAGACCCTCGATGCTACGATAAAGAAATTAGAAAGTAAGCATACACGGACTGAAATAAAGAATATTATACCCAATAGCAGACCAGAGGAGCACAAGAATCAAACCAAAGATTAGACAAAAAACACCCAACTGGAAAAGCAAAATGAAAAAAGAATCCGAAAGTGTGAAGATAGTGTAAGGAGCCTCTGGGACAGCTTCAAGCGCACTAATATCAGAATAATAGGGGTGCCAGAAGATGAGAGACAGCAAGATATTGAAAACCTATTTGAAGAAATAATGGCAGAAAACTTCCCCCACCTGGTGAAAGAAATGGACTTACAGGTCCAAGAAGCGAAGAGAACCCCAAACAAAAGGAATCCAAAGAGGACCACACCAAGACACATCATCATTAAAATGCCAAGAGCAAAAGACAAAGAGAGAATCTTAAAAGCAGCAAGAGAAAGAGACTCAATTACCTACAAGGGAATACCCATACGACTGTCAGCTGATTTCTCAACAGAAACTTTGCAGGCCAGAAGGGAATGGCAAGAAATATTCAAAGTACTGAATACCAAGAACCTACAACCAAGATTACTTTATCCAGCAAAGCTATCATTCAGAATTGAAGGTCAGATAAAGAGCTTCACAGATAAGGAAAAGCTAAAGGACTTCATCACCACTAAACCAGTATTATACGAAATGCTGAAAGGTTTCCTTTAAGAAGAGGAAGAAGAAAAAGGTAAAGATACAAATTGTGAACAACAAACATGCATCTATCAACAAGTGAATCTAAGAATCAAGTGAATAAATAATCTGATGTACAGAATGAACTGGTGATTACAATGAATCAGGGACATAGAAGGGGAATGGACTGACTATTCTTGGGGGGGAAAGGGAAATGGGAGATGCGGGAAGAGACTGGACAAAAATCGTGCACCTATGGATGAGGACAGTGGGTGGGGAGTGACGGCGGAGGGTGGGGCGGGAACTGGGAGAAGGGGAGTTATGGGAAAAAAAGAGGAACAAATGTAATCAGAACAATAAAGATTTAATTAAAAAAAAAAAAAGAAAGAAATGGTCCTGAGAGAGCTGGGAAGGACCAGCTCAGCTTTTACCATGATTAGAGAGTTAGACTGGGGTGAAGATCCCTGTGCACGTGCCAGGGCTTGTGTAGCTTGAACTTTCTGCTGGCACCAAAGCAGGGAGCATCAGGGCTTTCTTTGTCGGCAGGCACAGCTGTAGGAAGAAAGGTCAGGGGGAGTGGTGGGCTCGAAAGCTCTTAACAGTCCATGAAAAACAGAGTTGATTTTTTTATTACTCCATTTTTCCTGCATGCCTCCCTGATGGATTCCTCCTGTCAATCTGGCCAAGGAAAGAACTAAAACAGAAAATGGGGAAGGAAAAGGACACTGGAAAGTATATAATGCAAGGGTAGTGGTGGTAATAGCACTGGAAAATTAAACTTCAGTATGTATAATAGATTTAAATAGATATGAGGAAGGATGATTAGAAGGTTGTTCTAGTTAAATGGTTTTGAGGTTCGAGACTAGGTATAAAGAATGGGTGTTAGAGCCCTAGCTGGTTTGGCGCAGGGGATAGAGCATCGGCCTGTGGACCAAAGGGTCCTGGGTTTGATTCTGGTCAAGGGCACATACCTTGATTGCAGACTCCTCCCCGGCCCGGGCCCTGGTCAGGGCGCGTGAGGTGGTGACCAATCGATGTGTTTCTCTCACATCGATGTTTCTCTCTGTCTTTCCCTCTCGCTTCCACTCTAAAAATCAATGGAAAATATCCTCAGGCGAGGATTAACAAAAAAAAAACACACAAGCAAACAACCAAACAAAAGAATGGTGTTAGAAAGGCAAGGAGAGGTGGTAGGGACACAGCTGTGATCACAGCTTTTCTCAGACTTACTTCCTCAATATGCCTATACCTTTGGGTTTTTAACATGCTGTTCTCCTATTTTCTTTAATGTTTGCTTTTGTCAGTGTTATGTTAGCTTCTACATGTCTAGGAAGCAGAGACCTTGCCTATTTACTCTTTTATGTATAGCACCCAGCACCGCAGACAGATAGAAGCTCAATGCTATTTTTAAAAAATTTATTGATTAAGCAGCAATAATTATAAAAGAGCAATGGCCTAGTTTTGACATCAATCTATATTTCTGTAAGCACATAGAATACTTCGATGCTAGTAGTAGTTGTTTCTGAGTAAAATTTGAACCCAAGAACTATGATGAAAACATATAAATGAATATATGGCTCATGTGAAACTGATGAGATCTTCAAACCTTTATGTCCTCCTGATAGCTTGTGGTCATCAGTGACCCGCATATCAAGATTGATCCTGACTACTCAGTGTACGCTATGGCCAAAGAACAGGGCTACTTTGTGAGGAATCATGAAGGGGGAGACTTTGAAGGGATATGTTGGCCAGGTGAGATATTACTTTATACACTTATTTACTTTGTTTCGTCTAACTAATGAAGGTTTCATAGCCACTGTTCTTATTCCTTGTAGATATCTTTTGCTACATTTTAAGCTCCTTTAAGAAATGGTATTACCGTCTTTTATATCTTTCATAATACTGGTACAGTATACATTGTATCCATTTATCAGTCAATGGGTGAATAAAAAATAAGCAAACCTCTAGCATGCTATTTCTCTAAGCAAATAAAAATGAAAAGCCAAGGAATGAGAAAAGGAGACAAAGAGAAAGAAAGAAAAAGGGCCACCTGGCTGGTATGGCTCATTGGTTGAGCATAGAACTATGAACCAGGAGGTCATGGTTCGATTCCCAGTCAGGACACATGCCTGGGTTTCAGGCTTGATCCCCAACAGGGGGCATGCAGGAAGCTGCCCAGCAATGATTCTCTCTCATCATTGATGTTTCTATCTCTCTCTCTCCCTCTTCCTCTCT